CAGGAGAAGCTTAGTCATCTTGTGCTTTTTTCCTGTGAGATGGCTTCTTGTGTTAGGTTTTTGGAAATATTCCTCCCAGTCAGGGCTTTAGAAGACAGCTGGAGGGATTTAACTTTTGAGGTGACGTCTGACATCCCAACAAAACAACAGATCTCCCACAAGCTTCAGTGGGGACGGGATGCCTTCCTGTGAGATGTGGATTATCCTTTGCTGCTGTTCACAGAAGCCTGAGCACAGTGGGAGAGTCCTTCATCTTGACTGTTATTTCTAGTTGTTAAGAAAGCTTATTCTGATGTGTTAGCAGCATTTGTTGATACATACTCTCCTTTGGTACTTCTGAAAGAGCCAGCATAACTTTTTGTCACAACTAAACTCTTAGTCCATGGGGAAGATTCAGAGGTCTTGGCTATAGGAAGCCAAATTGTGTGTTAGTTCTCTCTGGATGTCCCTTGTTTGTATCTGCAGGGTTGGAGGATTGCTGAAAGCAGGTGCTAGACAAGGGGGAAATTGGTGTGTGTTTCTTTTCTGTACCACTTCACAATCACTGCAGTCTTGACTGGAACCAGAGCTTGGCAGAAGGGCAAGGAAATGGGGCCATCTAATGCAAACCTCCTCCAGTCCTGTCCTCACACTTGCAGCTTATGGGAGAAGCACCACGGTGGTGCGATGGCTTTCTGATGGTGAGCAGGAGATGGTGTCTATTACTCCTGGCCAGCTGTGGTCCTGTTGCACTAGGCTCCCTCAGCGCATATAAAAATGGACAGTCCTTGGCTGAGAGAACTTCCTTTGGAAATAGGCCAGTGGTGTAGGAAATCAGTATCTCCCACTGAACTGGAGCTGTGTGCCTCTCTCCAGGCGTGCAGGAAAGCCTGTAGACCTCTTCACCCCACGGACCAGCCTTCTCTGTGTGAGATGAACGTTTGCCCCTGAGTCCTGCCCTGTTCTAAATCTCTCTCTAGTGTTCACTGTGCATTGTTGGGCGTTCTTCAGGCTGTATTTCTTTCCTCATTAATTTGTCCTGTCATATTTACCTACCTTAGCAGCTCAAATTAACGCTTGGGGCCTTAGTGAGAAAGAGTATGTGATGAAGATGGCCTTCCATAAATCCAAATGTTGCTGTCATTTATTAGTTCTGATCCTCCACAACCTGATGTAACCAAGAAGCACCCTGTGTATGGGAAGGGAAGAAACATCAGCTTTCCACTGGCTTAAAGCATCCGTTTCCAAACTGAACAGCTCCTGAGACTGTGGACGTGAGGTGAATTCCTGACAGGGCAGTGTTTACAGCCAGTTTCTCTTTTGCAGAAATACACCATCTTTAAAGAAAACCATTTGTCTTGTTAGCTACTACACAGGGGTGACTGAGCCAATGTGCAGGTATCAGTATGTACACAGGCAATCATATGCCAAATCATAGTGTGGTGGTGCAGATGTGCCCAGCGCTTTCCACTGAACTTGTTCAAACACAGAACAAAGACATGTTCTAGTGTTTGTGAGTTGTTAATTACCACACAGCAGGCTGTCCTGATATGCAGAAGGCACTTACCTTCCAACTTGCTTGGGAATCTGAGCTCTTAGCCGTATGACAGGGAGAGGTAAAAAATCCATGGGGAAGGTAGACTGCTCTTCTGCAGCAGCCTTGTCTTTCTGATGAGAGTGTGAAGTGCTCTCCTAGCAATCCACTGCCAGTAAGGCAAGGATGATGAGAAGCAAGGGGGAAGGAGGTGGCCTGGGGCACTCCCAGGGGCCCACGATAATTCCCCAGGGGCAAAGCCCTGCTTTTGTGTGAAGAGAGGCCAGAAGAAGATACCAGAGTCTACCTGGAGCATTGACAGCACCGAAAACGGGGGTTATCGCTCCCCTGAGGCAGCGAGGACTCCTGAGAAGGCAAGAGCTACAAGGTGCTGTGGGGGTACTACAGAATATCATCAGGCTCTGAGTGGCTTTGCCCGCTAGAAATC